ATGCCAACTAATTATGAGTGTCAAATGATTATCTATACCTCTAAACTTTCATATAGTTTAACTTCGAATATATATACTTGCTACATGTATATATTTATGTATTTTGAATTATTATTTGATAAATGATTTGATTTGATTTCATGTAACCTTGTGTTTTGTGAATCAATAAATGAAATTGAATTATTCATCCCCCTTTTTAATAGGTACATTCAGTGAATAAATATTTAATTACACTAAAAAAGGGGGCAGGCAATTTGAAGTGCAAACTTATTTGAAGAAACATTGAGAATTTAGACTTCATTTTTATATTTAAGCAAAATTTATATCAAATATGAACCAGTGTATACCCAAGTTAATATTCTGGAGACAATTTTATTTCTGAACATTTGAAAGCCATATTGCATCAAGATAAAACGTTATTACAGATATACATGTGTATTTGAACATCTGTACTGCAATGTGATTATTCACATTCTCGGGTGATTCAGAATGCCCGATATTGCTTTTAAAAAATATTTTGGGGGGACTGTGGTAAACTCCCATCCAAAAAGAAAAGGGTTGTACCTGCGACACTCATTACGTCAGAATCTATTCTGATTCGAAGAAATGAATCTTTTCTTCGCAAAAAATAAATTACAGAACGAAGTCGTAACCCGTCAAATTATCTCCTTTTTGAAGAGGAGAGATAGTCCCGGTGCGGAACACGTTGTCTGTCTGTTACAACAATATACTGTAACTTTGTTGGGCGGAGTAATCTAAATAATTGAATTTGAATGTAGGCTACATGTATAACCTAAAGCAAGGAAAACCGCTAAATACTCATTTCAATATTTTATTCACTGTACCCATCGATTGTTGATTTACTTATTGCTGATCTTATTCGTGAAGGAGATGGGTGAACAAGTCGTGTAGAATGCCTATAGCTTCAGATATGTAAAAATTATATTCAATTTGCGACTTTGTATTTAGAGTAAAGTTATCTTTAATGAGTTTCATGAAATTATGATAAACAAAACTTTTCTGACCAAAATTTTCTCGACAAAATTTATTTGGTTATTAAAAAATAATGTGGTATTCGTGGGGTTCGAACCCTAGCAATAAAAATCCAAAGTATAAATTTTTCTTTAAGACTAGCACGCTAACCACTACGCTACACAGCTCTTGCTGAAGTGTGGCATTTAAATCATGTTTGTGATGTGATCTTTGACTAAATGGACTTTTTCGGAAGATGCGAATGTTGCTTCATAAAAGTGTATTTTTAAAGTATAGTGGGTCATTGCTCCATGCATGTTTTTGTTATCCAAAAAAAAAAATGTATATCTTTACGCAGACTTTGAGAATAAACTTTCCAAAAAAATGGAGCGAAGACCCACTCACATCGAAAAATTGTGTTAAAGTATGAGAAAATTATCCCTTTCTGCCCTCTTTAGTGTGTGTATGCTATTTCATAGGCAAATAATTTCAATCTTTGTAAGATCTTTGCAAATTTTGGAGATTTTACATAAAGTATACTTTAATGTTAGATGAAGTATCAAATAAATTTTGTTATAATACAGATTTAATTTTTCACCTTCATGTTTGTCGCACTATAGGCTCTTCGCTCGCCTTGTTCGCCCATCTTCTTCACCTTATTACATGTACTCCCAAATCGGAATTTACGAAAACTCCAGAATTGATAAGGCAATATATATAAAGTATTCACATGTATTCATTTTTTTCTAATGACACAACAAATCGCATTTTATGCTCTAAAGAAAAAAAAAAGTCAAGGGACAGGTATCCTCACAACGTCAGGTCCTGAGTCCAATCATGACCGGGTTCCACGGACACTGGTGGGCTGTATAGAGGGCGAGGTGCAGTTAACCCCATTGGAAGTTATTGTTCAAATAAACTCGCATCTCGCAAGCTGTCTATTTAAGGTTCAACAATACTCTGATAAGCGAGATAACTCTTAATGACGAAAATGTTTATTATTCCTTTTAGATTTGTCAGGTTGAAATGTCTTTTTTTGTCTAATTTTGCCCCGCAAGCTGTGCTATGATTGTTTGTATTACATGTATACTTAAAAATTACATTTCTTTTGGAAAATTATGAATTAAAGCAACATTTTATATGAGTTAGCAAATGGTTTAGGAACCTTAAACGAATGGACGCATATCCCGTGGCTTGCGACAATGATAGAATCAGTAAAGTGAATACCATTTAATTCCATCCAAGCAAATTATTTTGCCCGGGCTAGACCTTGACCACAACCTATGATATTTGTAAAGAGAAAATTCAAGGAAGAGGATCAATTATCAAACACCAAAGGAATTTACTGACGATGGTGGTATTGCATATAACAAACATATCAATATTTTGAATCAGTTCCCAATTCCAAGTGTACTACCCGCTTTAAAAACATTTTAATGCAGTTTTGTGTCATTTAATTATTGAAATACAACAAGCAAAATCAGCAAATTTTCTATGTGAACATTCTTGATGATAGATTTTATCTATAGAAGAATGTAAACCCTAAATGAATAGGAAGCCGATTCTACTTATTAATTTTTGTGTGTGATGAAGAGATCATAAAGCTAATATCTAATGTAAAACCTTAAGGTATGAAAAGAACCATTGAATTGAAAAATTCAATCCTGTTGCATTGCCAGAAGTCGAAAGTTAATTAGAAACAAAGTCAATAAACCCTTATATTGATTACCCAAGGGAAGGAAGGAAGGTGACTACAGTAATCGATTCCAAAAATATAAAATATTTTGTGTTAAAAGCTGATATCGAGTGAAAGAGAAATACTAATCAACTAATATGTACGTCAAATTAATTCAAAAGTTTTCCTTGGCAACTCAGTTGGATACAAACAATCAACACTGACGTAAAAATCTCTGATGACATTGCAACTATTTTAATCATTAGTTGTAAAACAAAATAACGGGGAGAAAAAGATGAGAAAATTTTAATTTTACCGTTTGAGTTGAATTATGTTTAGAATTTTAAACGTAAAATCGAATTTGTTTCAAAATCTCTGAACATGGGCACATAAAACTTGCTGACAGGATATTGTTTTTCAGCAGTAGAGATGCCAATACAGATAGTCTCATTTGATGCAAAATCTATTAAAATACCATGCAATAAATTCCATCAGTCTCTTGATTACATTTACAAATGTAAATGCTTTTGTTTATTGTTCTTGGTGCATGGAACAAAATCAATCATCCTTCACTATATAGCTGTTTTTAATCTAGGAGAAAAAGTTAATATTCAGTGGCGGATTGAATTTGTTTGGGGGAAGGGTGAGACCCTAAGGGGGGAGGGCACGGGAGGGGCAGGACAGTACAACGCGGTGGGGGGGGGGGGGGGGCAAGGGGACCCGGCCCCCAACTTTTTCTGAGTATAGTATGTTGCTATAAATTTTCATTTAGATGCTGGTTCCCCCCACCCTCCCCGACTTTTTGTTTCTGTAAGGTCGAGCACTGGCAAATTCTAGGATTTTGGGCAGTTAAGGAGGTTCTTTTTTTTGCTTTTCAGATTATTTTGAGAAGTTGTCCCCCACTTTTTGGACAGTTTATTTCGTTAGATTTTTTGGGAGGTTGGCCCCCACCTTTGAAACCGTTTGCTACAGGCCTGGAGGGGTAACCCCACCCATTTGTGGGGTGGGGGTTGGGGATCTCCACCGATAATTTTTTTAAAAAATGGCTCCAAATGTTGCATTTTCCAGCATTTTAGATTGAATTGGTTAGTTTTTGCCTTTCTTTCTTGCTTTGACGGGGCCTCTACTGGACATATACATTTAAGTTATACCACAATTCATTATACAAAGTTGTAACCGTTGAATTTTTTTTATAACATCATTCAACTGTAATAAAAAAAATATTTGCAGATCTTTTGCTTTTAAAATGTTTATTTCAATGTAACTTCCATCTACACAAAAAACACTATTCAATGCAATTTTATTTTACTATAGACTTGACCCTTTCGGTACAGATCACAACGTAAACCGTTAGAACTGGGGGGGGGGGGGGGTTTACTTTCTCGGTAGTAAAGCTAACTTGATTGGTAAAATACCGGTATTTTATTAAACGTTAATTTAAGTTTTAAAAAAATGACACTTGTAAAAAACATTAGGCGCCCCCCCCCCCCCCCCCCCCATACACACACACTTATATTGAAAGAGAATCACGGGTTTTTATATTTTGTGTCGAACACTTTCTCCTGAAATATTTATAAACGCTTATATTCCATATGGCAACTGGTATAAAAAAAATTGTGGCCACATAAAAAAAGTCATGAAGTTCACAATTTTTATCACAGGCCAACTGCTCATTATAATCATGCAAACTTTTGCATGTCCATGAATAAAAATGGTACTCATTAGCTACATGTATAATGTATTTTCAATATAAAATGAACTTTGTCATCCTTTGACCCAGAAGACTTTAATTCCAACCTCTTACAGAGAAATACCTGCTCATTATATTCATAGAAACAGCTAGCCTGCTAATATCTTTGAGTAAAGAAGATTTTTAAAGCTGTAAAGTATTTTCAATATGCAGTCAAACCTTATTATCTCAAATTCAATGGGACTGAGGAAAAAATTCTGAAATTTCCAAGAGTTTGAGATATTGAGGTTACAATACATAAAGAAAAACATGTTTTGGATTACCAACTTCAGTATTTCCATGGTATTCAAGATATTGATGTTCGAGAAACTGAGAGGTATGACCAGTTTAGCTCCAGATGCTTGAACCCTTGACTCATGGCCGGGATATGAATTTCACAATTATAGCAGAGTCTACTGCTCATTTCATAATGTGGTGCATGAACTATGCCTGGATTAAAGTATCAGGTCATAGCTTCATGAACTTTCAAAACTGAAATATATTTTATTGTACTTAATTGTCCACAATCTCTGAGATTTATGCGTAAAATGCTCAGCATCTCCAAAAACATCTTTGAGAAACATGTCAAAAGGTCCTCCTTCAAAGGTCTGATGTTAAATATAAATAAATATTCAAATATTGTTCTCAATTTTTTTCTATTTATTTGCATTTATTTGAGCAGTCCATTCATTACTTATTTCCTTTGGCAGTTAAATATTTTTCATACATAAGGATATTCTTAAAGTTGAAGTAATACTCCTCTACAAACAATGATACAGGTTTGTCTACATATTCAAGGAAGTTTCTTCTATATGGAAGTAAAAAGTTTCTAAATACAGCACATGGTAGATTGACTGGCCTATAAGGGTGTACTTATTGCTTATACACTGTAGACTGAATATTAGTTTACAGTATTGGGTTATATCTAATAGATGATTAATTCTATATAACAACTTCCCATGTGTTATTTGTTCGTGTTATTTGTTGACACTAAGTTCTTGATGGTCCACATCCTCATTGCTGACAGATTCCCATATCAATGTAATATCCCCAGATAAACACTGTACTTTTAACAGAGAATGATTCATTGTTTCCTCCCCCTCACAATCCCACTAGCTCCTCCTTAGCGATCTTCCTTTTGTGGCTGTTATGAGTGTTATAATCTATTTGATCTACTCTACAGAACTCTCCTGTGTCCAGATTTTTGGCCATCAGCTGTTCTGGTGCTAAGTTTGGGGTCACATGCTGGATATACACACTGGAAACACAATAGTCCTGTAAATCAAAATAAAAAAAAGTTTATCACTTTTCCAAACTGAAAAAACACCTGGCAGTTGTTTACTGTAAAGAAAGATTTTTTATGCTGCATTATTTAGTAGTCTAGTCAATGTGGTAGAGTCATTTTCAGCATGTTCATGCACTATGATACGTAATCTGTGATTATAAAAAATCTACCCAGTTATTTTTCTGTGGTTACCAAAAGAAACTTATGAAAAGTTGTAAATATCAAAGTAAGTCTAATAATTAAAAATAGTTCAACTTTTTTTATCATGAGATAGTGTAGAGAAGAGGTAAAATAAACAATGTTTACAATAATTACTAAATATTAATGTTGATAAATTGTACAAAGTTATGAGACTCATAATACCACTAGATAATGCATAGAAGTGGTGTAGAAAGATTACCTATAGATACTGAACAAAGTATACACACAGAAGTATGTAATATTACCACTAGATACTGTAGAAAAGTGGTACCAATAGTAATTTGTATATGATACCATGAAACACTGAAGAGAAATGGTACAAATAATATACATGTATTTCTGTACAATTACTAGTACTATAAGTATTGAGAAGTGTTGCAAACAGTATTTAAGTATGATTACCACAAAGAAATGTGAAGAAGTTATATTAATGTGAAATACTGATAATTTCTGTAACAAACAGTTATTTCTGTATGATAACTGAGATATAATGAATTCTCTATAAATACCATGAAATACTGTAAAGTAGTGGTAGAAATCAGTTTATCAGATACTGTAAATTAGTGGTGAATATCTCTCTAATTACCATCAGATATTGTAAATTAGCAGTAGATATCTTTATAATTACCATGAGATACTGTAAAGTAGTGGTAGATATCTGTTTACAGCCATTCAGGTAAATCTCCTCCAGGTAGGGACAGTTGTTGGCGATACAGAAGATGGATTTATCTGTGATGTTGTTCACTCCAGACAGAACAAGGAAAGCTAAATCCTGACAACTTCCACTCAAGGTGCATAAACCAGTGTCTGTTACCTGTCAAGTATATAAACCACTGTCTGATACCTGTCAGTTATATATACCACTGTCAGATACCTGTCAAGTATATAAACCAGTGTCTGTTACCTGTCAAGTATATTAATTATAAACCAGTGTCTGTTACCTGTCAAGTATATTAACCATAAACCACTGTCTGTTACCTGTCAAGTATATAAACCATAAACCACTGTCTGTTACCTGTCAAGTATATAAACCATAAACCACTGTCTGTTACCTGTCAAGTATATAAACCATAAACCAGTGTCTGTTACCTGTCAAGTACATATACCAGTGTCTGCTACCTGTCAAGTATATAAACCATTGTCTGTTACCTGTCAAGCATATAAACCATTGTCTGTTACCTGTCAAGTGTATAAACCATAAACCAGTGTCTGTTACCTGTCAAGTACATAAACCATTGTCTGTTACCTGTCAAGCATATAAACCACTGTCTGTTACCTGTCAAGTGTATAAACCACTGTCTGTTACCTGTCAAGTATATAAACTACCGTCTCTTACCTGTCAAGTATATAAACCACTGTATGTTACCTGTCAAGTATATAAACCAGTGTCTGTTACATGTCAAGTATATAAACCATAAACCAGTGTCTGTTACCTGTCAAGTATATAAACCATAAACCAGTGTCTTTTACCTGTCAAGTATATAAACCAGTGTCTGTTACCTGTTAAGTATATAAACCATAAACCAGTGTCTGTTACCTGTCAAGTATATAAACCATAAACCAGTGTCTGTTACCTGTCAAGTATATAAACCAGTGTCTGTTACCTGTCAAGTATATAAACCATAAACCAGTGTCTGTTACCTGTCAAGTATATAAACCAGTGTCTGTTACCTGTCAAGTATATAAACCATAAACCAGTGTCTGTTACCTATCAAGTATATAAACCAGTGTCTGTTACCTGTTAAGTATATAAACCAGTGTCTGTTACCTGTCAAGTATATAAACCAGTGTCTGTTACCTGTCAAGTATATAAACCAGTGTCTGTTACCTGTCAAACACTGGTACCTGTCAAGTATATAAACCAGTGTCTGTTACCTGTCAAGTATATAAACCAGTGTCTGTTACCTGTTAAGTATATAAACCAGTGTCTGTTACCTTTTAAGTATGTAAACCACTGTCTGTTACCTGTCAAGTATATAAACCATTGTCTGTTACCTGTCAAGTATATAAACCACTGTCTCTTACATGTCAAATGCATATCATTTTCCTGTTACCTTACTATACATCCTCCCTGATATCTACACTCCTGAGTCTTTTTTTTTACCTTACTACATCCTTTGATTCCCAGCCTCTGGAGTTTGGGAGTGTTCTGAGCCAGCAGACACAGGAGATTGTCATCCACACATCCAACCCCTCCCAAATCTAGACTGCACAGATTATTACAATAGGTAGCAGCTGCACACAATACCTCATAGCTTATCTAAGGCAAAATAAATTGTACATGTAGATCAATCAATATTATTATTCATACATGTGTATATAATTATTTTCATAAGATTTTTATTCTAATTACCTGAAAATTACAACTGAAATTATTAAAATAAATTCAAATTTTAATTGTTCTCTAAAAATGATTTGCTACACCTCATCTTGAAACTATATCTTAATGATGAGTTTTAAATGAAATCATATTATTCCACACTTTAATTGTTTTAAATGACACCAAATTGCTACCTTTCTGGAGGACAGGAATAGCTTGGTGATGTGCTGAGCCCTCTTTGGGTCCTCTAGTAATGGTAGGAGAGACTCCCCTGTAAACTCATGACACATACTGATGTTGAGAATCTCCAGTGAGGTGCAGTATTTACTGATGGACCTCAGGCCCTCATCTGTAAAATCTTTCTTCCTCATGCCACTAAGGTCGATCTCTACCAGGCTGGATCCTCTCTTCTCCATAATCTAAAATATTTCATTATAAATAGCCTCACTTATACAGTTTCTCAACTATGTCCCATTTAGAAATAACAAGCAAAGCAATTTAATAATCTATGTGTATGTGATATTTTAACTGCTCTTTTGGCAAATTGTAAATTTAACGGGTAGTTATTTTACAATAAACTTGTTAAATCTTACTTCAGTGTTGCAGAAAGGTGCCAAGAGAGGTAACTCTCCTTGCACAATATATAAAACATTCAAGTGAAGTTGATACCATGTTTAATTTGGCTAAAATTTTACAGATTCTTAGATTTTCTGGTACATGTAATGACTCTTGATGAACCTCTATTCAGGAATGTGATTTACCTGAGTAAATGTGTCATCATCTAGACAGGGAATCCCACAAAGCCGGACAGACTGGAGGTTCCTCAGTCTCTGCAAGGCTTCAACCAAAATCTCCTTGTCCTCCAACATAATTCCACATAAGGAAAGGGTTGTCAGGGTAACTGGAAGTGTCCATAGTGACTGGTTGTCTGGACTGTGACTCAGCTGTACACAGTAAGACAAATCCAGGTTCCTCAAAGAGGTACAGCCTTGTGTTAGCTACAATCAGAAAAACAAAGAGGTACAGCCTTGTGTTAGCTACAAACAGGAAAACAAAGAGGTACAGGCCTGTGCTAACTACAGTAAAACAAAGAGGTACAGCCCTGTGTTAATTACAGTAAAACAAAGAGGTACAGCCTTGTGTTAACTACAGTAAAAGAGGTACAGCCCAGTATTAACTACAGTAAAACAAAGAGGTACAGCCCTGTGTTAACTACAATCAGGATAACAAAGAGGTACAGCCCAGTATTAACTACAGTCAAACAAAGAAGTACAGCCCTGTGTTAACTACAGTAAAACAAAGAGGTACAGCCCTGTGTTAGCTACAATCAGGAAAACAAAGAGGTACAGTCCTGTGGTAACTACAGGAAACAAAGAGGTATAGCCCTGTGTTAACTACAATCAGAATAACAAAGAAGTACAGCCCTGTGTTAGCTATAGGAAAAACAAAGAGGTACAGTCCTGTGTTAACAACAAAAACAAAGAGGCAGCCCTGTGCTAACTTCAGAAAAACAAAGATGTACTGTCTTGAACTAACTACAGGAAAACAAAGAGGTACAGCCTTGAGCTAACTACAGGGAAACAAACTATAACTATAGAAAAACAGCGGTACAACCCTGTGTTAACTACAGGAAAACAAAAAGATAAAGCTCAGTGTTAACTAGAGGAAAACAAAGAGGTAAGACCCTGTGTTAACTACAATCATGAAAACAAAGCAGTGAGAGGGGCACATCTCAAAAACAGAATATTCAGGGTAATAAATCTCAAAAACAATTTATTAAGAAAGGACTTCTTAACAGAACAAATGATCACCCTTCCTCCTTAAATAAGAGGTTATCTACATAATAATTCTAACTGTTTAGTTTTAAATAATCTTGAAGCAATTATACTGTGTAAATTTAAAATTTTTATCCAGTAATTTTTTTTCTTTGAGTAAACGTAAGATAGTTAACATAGTTTACCTTTAACAGTGAACCTCCCGTTATTCTGGGACATCCATAAAGACTTAATCTGGAAAACACAATTCATTTGCATTGTGACACTTTAGTAAGATGAAAATGACAAATACTTTGTCATGGAATCAAACACTCCTCATACATGCATGGTTTGTAATAAAAATAAAAGATGCAGTTGTAACTTTGACAATGTTATTGGGTCCAATTCACCCCCACTCCCTTTGATCCACCTTCTAGTTAATGCTGAATGCTCATGATCAAAATCCTGTACATGCAAAGTTTGATATTTTTTAAATTACCTTAGTGTGTTGAAAGTTTTTATTACCAATTGCTGATTAGCCTTTAAAAATTAAAAAAAACTGATAAACAGATAGTGTGGCAGACAGCCATGTTTAACTAAAAAATTGTATTAAATTTGGGGAAAAAACAGAGAGTAATGAGATACTTACACTTGAAGATTGGGACATCTGGTGGCTAAGACACACAAGCATACATCACTGATTGTGTGAGGGGCAAAGTGTAGCTCCTTCTGTAACAATAAAAAGTGTAAGAATTAAAAACCTGAAAACAAAACACAATAATGCAGAATAGTTTTCAGAATAACACATTTAACAGTTTATTTCTCTTTTGGTGTAACCAGGTTGGGAATTCTTTTGATAGAACATAGGTGTCTTTGTGGTCTGCATCCCCAGTAGAACTGATGAAGCATCCAGGGCATGAATAAGACTAATTATTGTTGGATGAACCAAATGTTTATAACTTTGGTTTTGATACCATCAAACTGACTCAACTACTAATCTCAAACATGCCTTTACAGAGACTCAAATAGACAGGCATATAATGTGATTTCACTACCTTTCTCTTTGTTGTTAGGGAACGGGGTATGAATAAAAACTACAGCTTGATGCTAAATATCAAAACTATTACTGATATAAAGCAAACATACCAGTGTTGGACCCACAGTCTCTGCGATATCATGAAATAATAGATCATCATATTTGTGGTTACCCTGTCCTGCCACACGGAGAACTTCTATGCTGGGATTATTCTGTAAGACGGTGAGAACACCTATAAAGGATAATAAGATCATGTCACAACTGCTGCTGACTGTGTGTATTTTTTCAAAATTACTGTTAAACATTTACAGACTGGGGAATACTGTACAGTAGAATTAAAAAAACCCAATAAATTGGGTCTTTTGCATGAAATCAGTACAGAATTATAAATCTGTTTTTATTTTTTGGTGTTTTAGGATAAGTTTGTGTTTGTTTGAATTATCATTACTGAGAATAACCCACCTTTTGAATTCATCTGGGAGCAGCCCTTTAAATTAAGTGTATGAAGGACTGGAGATTTAACATTTCCCAAGCCTTTTTGGGTCAAATGTATCAGATACTTTAACACCAAGGTCTCCAGGGACTTTTGTTGATGAGTCACAGCTAAAACTCCAACATCTGAAACAAAGCGTCAACAGTTAAAACACATCATGCACGTGCATAGCTAATAAATGAATGACAGAAAAAAAAAATCAGTTACTGTAAACATTCTAGACTTATTTTAGGGGTTATCATAATCTTGTCCTGCTTCATGTCTGCTAATTCATGAACACCCTAATCAATGATTTAAACTTATATTTGCCATTTTCAGGACTCAAGGACTTACTCAATCTAATTTATAATTGCACTTATCATTTTAAAGGAGAGATTGGGCTAAATTTTTAGTGTACTAATTTATGTACGATTACAGTATTTTTACTCCTATTCATTATATCTTGTTTTATTTTTCTTGATATGATAAAACTGAGACCTGAGACATCACACTTTTCTATGACAAGAGTCTTTAACTGTCTTCGAGAATCAGCAAAGGATTTCAGGAACTGGTCGTTAACTTGATCACAGTGGTAAAGCTGAAGGTGCTGAAGTGAGGTGACAAACAGTTGCTGCTTGACACACTCCATGACATTTGGGGTCAAAAGGCTATGTTCACTGAGGCGCATCAGTAACAGTTCCTTGTAGATTCGGGGGAGTTTCTCCTTGATGTGGGGTATGTCCTGGATACTGTTCATAATACAGTGAATACATGTGTCCTCAAGAGATTTCATTGTCTGATGTGATTTGTATTGCTTCCTGGGATTGTCTGGTAGACTACTGTACCATTTCCTTTAAAAATACTATGATGTTTATTTTATATATTTGTATGGTTAAATGACTAGTTCTAGTTGTAATGCTTTCATTCACAATACAAATGGCATTTGAAATGCAGTAGTGTGTCTGTGCATTGGTAGTTCACTTTTCAGGAGATAGGTGAATTACATGAAGAACATCATGGTTATTTCCGGAAGCACCATATACTGCTCATATTTTAAATCTGTGAAATACAAAATAGGATAGACCATACAACAAACAGTTAACATTAATGAGTACTTGTGAACAATAGGCTTAATACAGTTATTTTTTAAAAATCCTATCATTTTTGTCAGTTGTTTAAATGAAACCCTATGTACATCAAAATCGTATTAAATGTAGTAGTGTAGGCAGGCAGGCTCACATTAATTAACCTATTAGTCTCCAATGTAAACATTGTACAGTGTAATATTAAACCTCATTTACAACAAATATTGACCTTTCATGACATACATTAGTTTCTAAAATAAAGTAAAATCTTTCAACTTTTCATTTTCAAGGCACACAAAATCTTCGGAAAAGGGTGCTTACCAGGGTCAATCCTATTAATAATAAGATTGTGTAAACTGAAAGTATTTATAGCTTAGCCAACTCCCGTTACTATTTATAGTTCTGATTCAGACTTCCGATCCCGATCTTTAGAGTTACTCAGATTATTATTAAAGATTCTGTACTGAATATTACCTACTCTGCGTCACAGGAATTTAGATTCATGTGAACAATTAATAATATTAGTTAGCTAAAATACTCTCATAGCGACAAAATAAACGTTATATTTAACTTTTTCCCCATATGATAATAGGAGACAAATTCAAACGGTAAAAAAAAATGTGAAATACATCTAAATAAAATAATGAAATCTTTTGAAACATAATCGAATTTATGCAGATGAATAAGATAAGATCACAATTGAGAAAATATGTAAATAGACTGTTTTTGATTTTGATATAAGGCCTCATCTTGAATGTGCGACAGATGGACAGATGGAACACTATTGATTTTTCTGTGCGTTGTAAAAATAAAGTCAAGCGTCACATCATTTTGTAGTCAAACTTTAAAGGATTGCCTAGAGATGTTTTAATATAACAGTAAGTTATTACTTGTTACTTTAATCTTAAATGTGTATTGACTTTTAATTTTAGCGAATCTCAATAATCAAGATAGATCTATTTTAATTTTGCATTGCTTGTAATATAAATTATTCCAATCGATTCTCAACCCCCTTTTACCTACAGAAATTGATTTCAAAGCAGGCATATATTTTATGAGAAAATGATTTTATGATATAAATACTCAATTCAAAGGTTGGTTGTACGAGCTTATGCAAGTCCAAAGTGGAAGGGGGTGAGGGTTTTCCCTCCTTTTTTGATGTAGTTTTCCAAAAAGTAGGTAGATATGGCCCCTACCCCCTTGTAAGCTCTTGTACACACTACGGCTAGTCATTATAGAGTTCAGTTTATAGGTTATATGTGCACATTAATAACATTAAAAAAAGTTAGAGACATGATATTTTGGTTTTGTGAAGGATCTGGACATTATCTCTCTGTTCCATTTTCTTACAACTCCACGTTTTTCCTTTTTAACAAGCATTATAAGATCAGAAGTGATGACAATTTGGTTCTGCCTTGTTACTTTACTACATTTTAACTACACGATAAACACTTTCATAGAAATAGGGGAAAAAAGATCAAAAAAGCAGAAAAATGGGGTCAATTAGAATCAAAGTTGTGTAATAGTATAAAAGGCATTGCAAATTTCCCTTTCGGTGTTAATTTTTATATACATCCCTGTACATCTTACTTGCAGACAAATACAATGGATCGTGGGACTTCCAGGGGACGGGCGGTGGAGAAGTTTGCTGAGGTGTGCCGGGATGTCCTGACTGAGCCTGAACGCCTAGGCCTGTATAAGCTTCTCAGCGACTATCACAGGAGACGAAGGGTTGAACGACTGGTCCCTGGACTGTTCAAGGTCATCAGGGAGGAAAATAGGATGGAGGTCATCCACGTCCTGCGTCAGCTGATTCCATACGCGCACCTGCCAGAATTCGACAGACAAACCCGTCAGAGAAGGGCCAGGGGTCAACTCAAAACCTTCTTTTGGGACGACGAAGATGATGGGATAGGAACCACAGTCAGCTTCAGCAGTGGTGGGTATTTTTTGTTTCGTTTAGGGATGTTTCAGGGTTGTCTTGATTAATGGCGATAACATTTTTAACCTAGATTTAAGACAAAGCTTTGCATCTAAACGTTATAATATAAATCCAATAACTATTGCTCCTGTCCTGAGGATGATACCAGAAATTATTTTGACAATTATTAGGGTCTCCTTTCGAAAGAAAAATTTAAATTTAGATTTCAAGTACCCATCAATATATTTAGAAGGCCCGAACGTCAGGGAAATACTTTTATCACTGTTGAAATTAGTGACGAAGAAAATTATATAGAATATATACATATAAAAATTACAAGTAGAAATATAACTGTATAAGTAGGATTTTAAGTTACAGAAAGAAATTCAGAAAAAGAAAGACAGTAATTGATTTCATGAAAAACTATTCACAACAATGTGTTATTTTAGGAAAAAGTAGTGTTGCAAGTATATATTTCAAACTAAGCAATCCTATTTAAAACTGAACCAAAGCTAGAACTAAAAAAATACATCTTGAAATCTTTTCTATAAGATAAAATACATCTTGAAAAATTTATCTCAAATGAAAAATGGCCACTTTTCATTTTTCTAATTTTGTTCGGAAAGGATCTTTTTCCTTCATCGATGAATAATTAATCACACTGCCGTCTTCGCCATTGTTTTGGCGTAGCTGGAGGGATGCATCAGCAGCATTACTTCCAGTATTGATTGTCTACCTTTTGCCAGGTAAGACACTCAGGTAAGGGGACATGCCTGGGGCATCAATCTTCAGGTAGGTGACATATGGACTTTGCCGATTAACATAAGGATGTCATATGATACGTACAGTGTGTAATACCTTTACCTATAGATATTTTACATTCATACTACGAGGGGTTATCAAAAAGTTCGTGGACTGACGCGATAAAATTAATAATATGTAGTCTTTGCTTACAAAATTTATGCGGAACATAAAACAACAAAAGTTTAAGAAATGTTGAAAATTTTAGCTTGATACGTTGATAATTTGTCAAATTATTCTAAAATTAAAAAGACTTTATGTGATTACCCGGTGCTGTCGCCCTTTAGTGTCATGACGTCCGCTTAACGTCATTGTTTCTTAATGTCCGCTCTCTCTACCTCATACACTTATCTTTATGAGATTACCTGGGGTTAAGTAAGGACTTAAACCCGTCTTATTTATATAAATTTACAATGTCATGAGCAGCTGTTTTCAATGCATATAATATTGTAAATGGATCTTTATATGGGGAAAGATCCTCACTTGATTATGCCAGAATACTTAGCTTGTTGGAGTTCAATTTCTACCACACATGATCAACGTCACTTTTCGACGTGACTGACCTTTGACACCCTGACTACATATCGACACTAACTGTGCATATTTCATCTCTCTGAATCTTTTTGGGCATTAAAAAACAAGTACTCTGGATGCATTTTATTTTTCTGTAGCCAGTTTAAACATTCCTTAGGTCAATACCAGTTTTTCCAGGAGCGAAACTCTATAGAGTGTTTGAAAAAGAAACCCCTCCCCCTTTTTGACGTTATTTTCAAGCCAATAATTGTTTGGACACTCCATATAAAATTTACGATAAAATTTCATAGAAATTACAGAATGGGGTAAAAATTGCAAATTTTACTGAACAAATGTTTCGTACCACATGCCTGATTTAACGAGTTTTTTTTAGGACAAATACTCATATCTAAAGAGTTTTTTTCAGTTACACTCAGGTAGAAAAAAACGTCATATTAGAGGTTGCGCCGCCTGGACATACCTTTGCTTACAAAAACACTAACAATTTATTAAAAAATAAAAATTATGATTTATGGTTTATTCTATAGATAGAAAAGATGATGCTAACTAAATGTGTAAAAATTCATTGATGTACCTAAAGCGGTTTTAATTTTCTGACGCTAGTCCACGAACTTTTTGATAACCCCTCGTACATACGTAAAATTATTAAAAAAGAGCTGATATTCTCTGTTGTATATGTAAACCTGCAGTGGCAGTAAAAACGGACAATTTCGAGTTTTGATAGGATATATGTTAAATAAATCCAACTTAAATAATCGTTATGTAAATGTTTTATTATTGATTTCAGTGGCAGCTTGTGAAACAACGTTGTCTAAAAAATACTACAATTTTAGCCATTTCGTCATTTTCTTGACCCTCCTGAGAGGATTTGATAGACTATATATATTAAAGCCCCCCCGCCCCCCCTCCCACACCCGCCCCGAATTTTGTAGAGATCTACCTATGTATCTACATGTATGCATATGTCACTATTTCAGATTCTGTGTTTCTAAAAGCAGTGATATACATTGTACATTCAATCTTTTGTACCGTGAAATAAATAATTCAGGGAAATGACCTGAATTTCCGCCGTTTCATAATAAAATCACCGCCCAGTATTAGCTCTGCAGCTGATATTTTCCACAAAAATGCAATTTCCCTGATGAAATAATTCATCTAATGCGGAATGAAACATGTAATTACAAAAATACTATAATCAGTGAAATACCACCAGCATTATGCCCCAAATGTAAATGTGATCGATTTGGATTTTGGTACTTCATCTTTTCTGCGACCAGAGAATTAATTGAAAATGTTAGCATAACAAGAAGAAACTTAGGTATTTAGATTTGGATTTCAAATTTATTTCAAAATTATATTATGACCCCCCCCTTTCCCCTCTTCCATATCAAATATGCATATTACGATGCAGTTGAGATTATTAATGATTTTGTTGAAGTTCTGTTTAAACTTCTATCATATCTTTCTTTTTTTACCGTTATCTCTTTACAGAGGACGAGTCGGAGGGTGAGAAAACTCGGGAGGATTTACATGAAGTAACCTTACATAGGGATAGTCCATCACAGAATCTAGGATTCAGTATCAGGGGCGGATCAGAGCATGGTCTGGGGGTGTATGTCAGTGAGGTAACACCCGATTCTTTAGCGGGTGAGTTGATTTTGTAGGAGTTAATATCACACAGTACTGTTTTTGTATTCAAAAACCTTGATTTATTTAGATTTTTTCACAGATAATTAATCACGACATTCTTGCATCTACAAATTTGATCTAAAATTAGCTTAACATTACATGGAATCTACGGAAGCAAGGAAACTTTTGTGTTACACATGTTAAATTTTATCCTATGATAAAATGCACACAAATGCTTTAAATTATTTCCTTGTTATTCAGAAAATTCATTAACATATCTTTCATTAGTATTGCAGTAGCCCTCCTCTCTTAAAATTGCATCATTTTGTTCCGGTTTGGTAAAAAAAAATCAGCCATTAAAAATATTTATAGTCATAAAATAATGTATATTTACACTAATCCTAAATACATGTAATTATTAAACCTATTGACACCAGATTGACTGAACAATTAATTGAAGGTTTTCAAAAAGGAACAAAAAGAGAATTTGTTTTTAAATCTTACTTCTTATATGGTCAGCTGGAGCAGGATTGGAGTTTGGTGACAAAATCTTGTCAGTAAATGGCGTCAGTCTAAAGAATAAGTCCAGCAGTATTGTGGCGAGTCTTATGACCAGCAGCTCAGATATCAACATGACACTGAGGATGACCGGGCACCTGCCAAAATGGCGATTATTCAAGGAAAAGACAGCATGGTGAATACAAAATATGAATAATTTAGATTGTATACAATTTCCATATCTAGTAAAATCCTCCTATACAATATAATAATCATAAAAAACAACAAAATTATATTTAGAAAGAGGTTGAAGTAGGATTATTCAACTGCCAAAAGAGACAGGAAACAAAATTATTTCAGGTTTGACCACGAGAAAAAGACGGTAATATGTGGGGAGTTTGAGAAATCTGGAGCTTCACACTACATAAAAGGTCTAGACATGGATATTCCCGAGCGAAGAGTGACATTGATCAATGATGGAGTTCTGGGGCTCAATATTAGGGGAGGGTCAGAGTTTGGCCTGGGTATTTACGTGTCAAGGTAAGACAAGGTATACACAGTGGAATGGCATCTCCTTAAAGTTCACTGACCCTCTGATAAGAGAGATAACTCTATTATTCCTTTATAAAATTGTCAAGTTAAAGGGACATTTCTGTCAATTTCCCCCTTTTGGTATGTTGAAATACTTTGCATTTTAATTATGATTATAAATCCTTACCATTCAAGACAAATTTTATGTAAGTGAACAGAGGAGTGATGGACACTGAACATTTTTATTTAAAAAATTCAAAAATGCAGATATGCTCAGAACTTAAGATTCATTAGACTAAATTTTAATATGATTAATAAAACTTTATCACTTTTTTTCAGCATTGACCCAGGGGGGCAAGCAGAACGCCAAGGGGTAAGGGTTGGAGACCAGATAGTGGAGGTCAACGGTGTTAAATTTGAAGACGTTACACATGCCAGGGCTGTAGATGTTCTAACGAGTCAGGACCACATAATTATTACACTGAGAGTAAGTCCTTCATTTAAAGTTACTCACACCACATCACTGAGAGTAAGTCCTAAACTTAAAGCTACTCACACCACATCACTGATAGTAAGTCCTAAACTTAAAGCTACTCACACCACGTCACTGATAGTAAGTCCTAAACTTAAAGCTACTCACACCACGTCACTGATAGTAAGTCCTAAACTTAAAGCTACTCACACTACGTCACCGTGAGTGAGTCCTCCAACTAAAGCTACTCACACTACATTCCTGTGAGTAAGTCATCCAACTAAAGCTACTCACACTACATTCCTGTGAGTAAGTCATCCAGCTAAACTACTCACACTACATTCCTGTGAGTAAGTCCTCCAATTAAAGCTACTCTCACTACATTCCTGTGAGTAAGTCATCCAATTAAATGTACTCACACTTCATTCCTGTGAGTAAGTCATCCAATCAAAGCTACTCACACTATGTCACTGTGAGTTCCTACATTTTAAGCTACATAACTTAGAGTAAGTCCTCCTATTGAACATTCACATCACATCAATGAAATTGAGTCGTTCATTTAAAGCTACTCACACTACATCGCTGAGAGTGAGTCCTCATCTGAAAGATACTTACTCTACATCACTGAGAGTAGATTCTACACTTTAAGCTACTCACACTACATCACTGAGAGTAAGTCCTCCACTTAAAACTACTCACACTATATCACTAAAAATAAGTTCTTTTCTTAAAGCTACTCACACTACATCACTGAGAGTAAGTCCTCCATTTGTAAGCTTCTCTAGTGATACTAGTATACAGATTCATCCCGTACATTTTTTAGCGAATGAAATTTGTTAAGAATGATATTTAAGAAAATAATTTATAAACGAATAAAAAAAGCTTTGAATTTTAAACAGGATGTTGGTCGATACCCGGCATTTAAAGAGGTGTATGGAAAATATTCTTGGATTCATGGAAACCCTAAAGTTGGAAGTACGTTCTCACAATATATCATGGCACTGTATGAGATGAACAGTAATTGTTGAGTTGTTGAATATAGTAATTGTTAATAAAGTAATAGAAGAAAACACTCAGATTTTGTGTTTCTTTAAAATTTAATGCTGCTTGCTTTGTTTCAATTCCATATAGCACGCAAAAACAAAGCACTGCATGTAAAAGTTCCGGTGGAAGTTTTGTCTCAGCGGTCACATGACCATAATTCTGACAGCGCATACAATGACGGACTTCCTTTGCAATCCGAGATTTATCTTCCAAGCACAAGCCAAGGATCAGGAAAAGAGAAAATGATAGTAGACGACAGCGATATGGACGATTTGGGGTCTGTCAACTTAGAAATGTGGAAACACGCCGAGGGGTTCCAAAATCCTGCTTATAACTCAGAGTTTCGGAAGGACGAATACAATTCTGGTGAGTCGGATTCAGATGAGGGATCTGGAATTCAAGGAGAATACAGTATGATGACAATGGATGCAAAAATGATGGAAGAATTCGAACTTGTAGATATTGAGCGGAAGGAAGATACACCGATAGACATTGAGAAAGAAACCGTGATCGATCTCACTTTGAAAGAAACAGATGACGAGGCGGTTTATATTTCAAAGACTTCAAGGCAGTACTCTTCGAGGAACAATAAAATTATAGAAGAAAAGATGGAGTTTTTGGAACCATCAGACGCTGAAGACAGTTGTTCAGCAAGTCTGAGTTGTTCACCAGTAAGTCTGGATTGTTCACCAGGAAGACTGAGTTGTTCACCAGAGACCAGACGATACACAGCTTGGTCCGACGAAGAAATATTTAAATATAATGGAGAAGATGAAAGTGTCAGCCCAGCGTCTTCTCGACGAAGTATGGGCGAATATTCGGAACAAGAATTTGATTCAAGGATGAACGCTCCAGATTTGAAGGAATATCAAACAAGTCGCCAATCATCTCCTTCGCCGGCATCGAGTGTTCGATATATTTCCAGGAAAGACAGTGATCACATTGAAGATGATATTGAAATTCAGGAATTTGTGGAAAAGAACAATGCTTCTCAAATTCAAAAAGAAGTAAATCCATATGCTTCCATCGAGAGACAATTAAGTACAGGTTTTGTAGTCAGTGATGAAGAGATTGTAGTCATGCGAAGTTTCGATAGACAGATAGGTGATTCTGAGGAGATTCATTCACTTCCAAGTGATACTGAACACTTAGTTCAAAATGAATCGGACTCGGTGTCATCATCCGAAAAGATAAAACATGAAATAAAAAATAGAAACCTTCTTAAGTACGAATCAACCAGCTTTAGAAGTAGTAAGCCGCAACTATCACCGTTGGAATTGCAGGAACAGACCATTTTGCTTCCTGTTAATCAGAGTAAGAAAGATGAAGTAGACAACCGACAAAAGGAGGACCACAAGGATCCAGGTTCTTCTCCGATGACAGAGATTTCAGGAAACTTAAAGATGCCGAAGACTCCGGAGAAAGACAAAACTAGAGGTACATTCTGAACACTAAAAAATAGGATATTACAAGATTTGTTGTTCGTTAATAAATTTTTAAAAAGTTAAGAATCTAAATTTGTCTTTCCCTAGACTTGGCTTCAAAACGCAGAGCTCGTGGAAACTGGAAAGTCTTAAGAGACAAGATTAAAGGAAGTTTACGCATTAAGCCCCTCTCACGTAAGCTATGAGCAAGCTCAAGTATTGTGCAATTTTTCAAATCACAAATTTAAAAACAAGTTACAATATTATACTGATGTTTATCTTTGCAGGCAAAGGTCTAGAAGAAAGGTTAAGAGGTAAATATTTAAAAAAGAATGACCAGAGAAATATATACAAGTTAGCTGTATTGCGACTATGATCTTTCGAAGAAATCAAAGCATAATTTAGAAAGCTAAGTTCTTTTTAGTGTATCTTCTAAAAGGATATATAGAGTGACAATATGACGATTTAATAACTTCTGTACTCTTTAAGAGATAGCAAGGGAAAATGAACAGTCAGACAGGCAAAGAGTTTCATCAAACAAGTTCCAAAAAACCACCGTGTCTTCCAACAGTGTGAAGGCTTTAGAGGAGGCATCCAAACGGTTTCTAGACGCACAAGAACTTTCAGACCTTCTAACACAGATCAGAATGGTAAGAAGCAAAAGATCTGTAGTAGTTCACTGACCGAGTTGTCTCGCCTGTAACATCGGCGAAAGTTACGTCATTCAAAGTAGAAATTCAGCGAATGAGTTATCTCGCTTGCTATACGCTGCCTTTCACTTTGTAATCTTTCAACAAATCAATGGTTCTACTTCAATTTATTATATTCCAAACTTCTATGAAATACTCTGACAAAGAAACTGTAATATGTCATTAAACTCTTTAAAACCGAGTGATAAAACTATCTTGTCATTACTCCGTTTTCTTCCTGAAAAAGAAATTTAATGTAATTGTATCATTCTTAAATCACAAGTGTGTAAATAAGGTTTAAAGTTAAAGATTAGGGAGGTCTTCACACGAGGATTGATTTTAAAATTACCCATCAGTTTTAGTTTGTTAAGATAATGTATCCTGAAGTGTGAAGAGCTGTGAAATCAAGGATAACGGCTTATTTAATTGGATTCTCATCTTTCTTTAATAGCGGTTGAAAAGCTGCAGATGCTTAATTTGAAAAGATATAAAATGTATTATTTGTAGCAGTCTAGTATTTCTATTAAAAATTGAAAGATAAAGTGCAAGAAACCATCAGAATATAGAGGGAAATTAATGAACACATTTGTACTCTTCTAAGAAGGTCTCGCCAAAAAGAGAGATGTAATTTAAAGTGAGTGAAAAGTTACAAGAGCCATTAATGTACTTTTATCTTATTTTGACAAGCTTATAATCAGAAGAGTTTTTTTTATCCACAGTGTACCTAATGATAAATTTATAGCAACCCCGTGCCTTAATTTGTTTGTCTCATCTACTATCAAAAGCTGTTCGTTACCCCTCTGCCTTCTGACAGCTGTTTTGGTTATGTAAGAATTAACGTTACGAATTTCTTCTCATCTCGATAAAAAGGTTCTACAAAAGACTTAATATTAGATTAAAGACACAAACTAAATGAGAAGATGGTCTTCGATGACTGTATAATGGACTATTATAAATAAAAAGGCTAGGAAAAGTAATCTATAAGATCTATCTAATTAATGGTAAGTGGAATTTACCCATCTCATTATATTTTGTGGAATCTAGAGATGAAAAAGACAGTTTTTATGAGAAATATATAAATGTAGACATTCCCTCCCTCGTTCACACGTTCTAATACAATCATTAAGTGCTCTATATTACGTGGAATGTGATAAAAGAAGATTTACAAACAATGTTTTTTTCTTCCGGCTACAATATACCAAGAGCCACAAAGTACGAACGGTAAATATCACCAAATCGGTTATGAAGTGCGAAGAGAAAATTAATATTCTATGCAAATGTCAAAGTCTTTTTAAGTGTGTTGTCGACTTAATGGTATTTCTTTTTTTCTGTTAGTACCATGAAAGTCATGATCTGGACCGATTGTTGGAGGTTCTATTAGCCATGTTAGATACTCCAGAGAAGATCTTATTACTGAGGGAAATAAGGTACTGATCCACTACCAAACCACTCTAGTTTTCATTAAATCCGAATACTTGAACTTAATATTTGACAAATTTACTTTTTTTTAATAAAAATTTTGAAGCATCTTTGATGCTAAATGTAAGTGAAATAGAAATAATAGATGTAGCGTTTGTCTTTTGTTACATAAAGTGTTTTCTTACTAGAAATGTTTCTCTCCAAAAGCGTATCTAGCAGAGCATTTTTTGTAATTTTCAGTGTAATTAATTAAATTTACAAGATAAAGTAGATTGAAAATAACTTTGGATCCGCCTTATTCACTCCCCAAAAGAGGAAACTATATACAGGGTCATTTTCGCCCCATTTTCCTTTCACCCTTGGAAACAATTTTGCCCCTTGTTTAAATTCACACAGACACAGTTTTAATTGTTGAAAAAATATTGCTGTCTTTTTTTATGTTTGCCTCGTCTTAAATTCGTTCACTTGCCACGATGGCGAAACCGACGAAAATATAACGAGGGCGAAAATTTCCTTGTATAGAGTATATCCCAAGATCTTTAAACAAGATATCTAAAAACCGTTTTATTGATTTTGTTTCGTTTATCATATTTTTTTTTTGAAAAAGGTATTTTATTGACTGAAAATGGACCCGCGCCCTTTTAAGGAAAAAATTATATTTATTTTGAATAAATTAGAATTGTTTGGTGGTGTTTTACAGAAGTGTTATCTTCCCTGTGGACATCTACAGATTCGAGCTATCAGTCAGCAGATACGAAAAGGAAGCTTATGAAAAATTGTCGACCAAACTACATCTTTATCTTAACCATGGCAAGGAGCGCAAGCCAAAGAAGCACTTGCTCCACACCGAAACGGGTCAATTTTTACTTTATTTAAACAATTTTCTTAGTATGTAAATTATATGATTTTAAAAAGACGATATAAACAAAAAGAAAAAGACGATATAAACCAATTATAATTTGTTGTAACTTATAGTTAATCTTAGTCATTCAGGTGACCTTTTTGCTAGCTGTTATTCTTTTTATGCATCGTCCGTAAACTTTTGAACCAATTTTGTTGTAAAGCATCTATGGGTGAAGGGAAATTTAATAGTGAATTCCATGGTCCTTGCTTCATCGTGCTTAAAAGGTTGGCCAAATGCAATCTTCAACAGAGGCCAATGGACCTTAACGGTCACCTGAGTATCTTGAGTTTTTCAAGTGTCACAGATTGTCGAACGGATTTACTTCTTTACTAAATTTAAATATAACTCAAATGCTTTTGTCCAGATAATTTACATATTTAATTACAATAAATGTACAAATACACAATATCCGTTGTTTGTCCTATAATGGGTTTTTGTCCTTCCGCGCCTTCCACTCCACCGGCTAGAGGAAGATCTCTAGGGCCTCTCTATTACACATCATTATGGGAGGGCGGACACACTGGAGGCACCGGGTGGCCTCTCCATACAGTCTCTACATATACTATGGATGGATGGAACCTGCTCCAACATACACATACAAACGTTTTACTAATAAGCTCTTGTGGCTTAACACAAATACATATTTTACTCATTATCAGATTTACAGATAATGTACACGTCTTAGATAAGACTTAATTAAACACACATGATATGTTTAACAGCTGTTTAAACTATACATACAACCCATACACAAATGCAATATTACGAATTGCTACTTTACAGACAAATTATTATTACGGAAATTGTACACCATACTTATAAATATTCAAATACGTGTTGCTATATATAGTAATCACATTAAACAACATATACATGCTAAAACTGATGAGAAATGCGGTGACTGGGTGTTTTAGGACAAATGAATGATACAAGAAAATAACTAAGATAAAATTGTAAACATAAACCTTACCTCAGAAAAGCTGGACCATTACACACACAAAAAAAAATACAAAGTAAGCCCTGAAAAACAACTGGTACTCGGTGTAACTATTAATGCTGGTAAGAAAACATATTTGAGAGGGGGTTAAAGCGTCCTCCTCTCTGGACTGCCGTGTCCAAACTAACTCGCACGGACTGGCGGGCTTTAAGGTCCAGTGAATTGAGGTTCAGGGAAGGATATGTACAGTAATAACACATTTAAAACGAAGGGGTTCCCCACGGGATATTTACATGAAATTTAAAATACATTACCAAAAATATGATAGGATGATTTTAATGTGACATCAAGCTATAGTCATTTTGGTCCTACCCATAACTGGAACTCTGGACTCAAGATACAAAAACTTCATGTTTGTTGAGGACCATATAATCGGTATCATATTCATGCACTTTGTTTCCTAGAAGTTTTGAATCCGGGGCCGTAAAACTTAGATGAGCTCACTTTTGATCTCGATCTCACTTTTCCACTGTTACTTCCTTATGGAAAAGTGAGACTGAGATCAAAAGTGATGAAGCTCGTCTAAGTTTTATGGTCCCAGAGCCAGGAGTAAAGAATATAAGGTACACTGTAGGATAAATTTCAATATATGACCAACTTAAACCCACACCAAGGCTTAACGCATACATGTAGACCTAGTGGATATAAATTGAATAATGTTTATAGAGGGCTAGCTGCATGATCATTATACTTATGCAAAGAATTCGACTTCTAGATGTCCATGAGTAAATGAAGATTTACGAGGATGTAATGTACTTTTAATACAGAACCAACTTACCCCACCTTTGGGCATGAACCATGGCAAGAGGCCATGAACTTCACAATTTTGATGAAATGTCATTACATTCATGCAAACAGCATTTTCACCAGATGTCCTTCAGAAAAGAAAAAAAATCAAAGATGTTATTTATTTTCAATATATTACTAAATTAGCTACACCCTGGGGCTTGAACGCTAGACTCAGGAATCACGAATTTTGGTTCTTTTAGTAAATATACACACAATTTGCCCACTAGAGTTCCATGAGTAAAGGATATTCAAAGATATAATTTTTTTCAGTATACAATATACAATGTATGATTTGCTCCGCGCTGAAGCCTGAACCATAGCCAAGGGGTCATAAAATCGCAATTTTGGTAGAGGGCAAAGTTTTAATTATAATGTTGAAAATAATGTGACTGCTAAATGTCCTTGGGTAGAGAAAACATTTTCAAAGATGTATTTTCAGCACAGAAACAACTAAGTCCTTACCTAAGGCATGAACCATGGGCCAGGGGCCATGGGTTTTACAATTTTAATATAGTTGAATACTCTTCATAATTATGCACCAAATTGTCTGTTAGATGTCCATTAATAAAGAAGATTTTATTAAATACATGTACATGTATATTGCAAATAAAGATATATGAACAACTTAGCCCCGCCATGGCATCTGAACCAAGGGGCCATCAACTTAAAATTATGGTAGAGTGCTCTTTGATTATTACAATCATGGTAACAGTATCACTGCTTGATGTCCAGGAATGAAGAATTTGATGGTTTTGGCTCCACAGTTTACGTATAACGAATGAAAACGGATAAAATCAGATAGCAATAGGTCACCTGAGTGACTCATTTGACCTAAAAGGCTCAAAAAGGTTCTCCTAGACATGTAACAGTCATTTTTTGTCATAATTATGATAATCAATAAGCACACTTTACCAAAATGTTCATTATCTCTCTTAAAATCTTCCCTTTTCGCTCTTTGACATCAAAAAGACAATATATTAGCATAATTCTAATGAGTACTCATTTTTTTAAAAACCAAAATTGAGAAATTTATGGCCCAAGGGTCCTAGGTTCAGGCCTTAGGGCGGAGCATAGGTGGAGATATATATTTATTGAAAATGCAATATTTTTGAAAGGTTTCTTTTGTACTCAAGGAAATTTTAACAGGCAAATTGTTTCTATGATTATAATAACTATTTCCATAATCCCAATACTAAAGTTTTTACAAAAACTGTGAAATTCATGACCCTATGGTCTATTAATTGAAAAATTATCTTAAAAAAAAATCTTCTCTACTCAGAGGTATTCTGAAATTTTTTTTCCAAGATAACTAGTGTAATAAACACTTAGCCCTTTACCAAAATTCTGGAATTCATGGCTCCTGGGCCTATAATTCAGGCACTAGGGTGGGGCAAAATTGGTCATATTAAAATCCATTGAATTTGTGAAAGTCTTTTTGTTTACTTATGGTCGTCTAGGGAACAAACTGTTTGTATGATTATAATTTACACTTAAATCTCCACCAAAATTTTTATGGCCCCTTGCCCCACGGTTCAGACCCCAGGTTAGAGCTAAGTTAGTTATATTTAAAAGTTCATTTATATTGAATCTTCAAAAATGTGTTTCATTTACCCATGGGATATAACAGGCAAATTATGAGCAGCTAGCCCTCTACAAAAATTATAAAATTCATGTCCCCAGGATCCAGGGGTCAGGCTTAAGGATCATGCTAAGTTTGGCATATATTGAAATTTATTATGAGGTGTATCGTTTCTTTTCTCATGAACTTTGAGGAGACAAGCTACATGTTTATGATAATTGATAATGATAATAGAGTCTTCACCAAGGTAAAATATTTGTCACATGAGACCAGAGTTACAGTTAAGGGGTCTAAGTGCTTAAACATTGTTTTCAATCAAAATGTATGAATTTTATTTCAAATAATCACGCACTATCAATATTTCTGTCTCTCTTGTAACAGATGCCATTCCGCAAATGGATTACGCAATAGGTATTCCATGTGTTGTGTAATTGTTGTATGACGTCATAGATATCGTTATCATTATCACATATGCCAGATATCGCACGCTGCGTTGATATATGAGAACATTAATTCATTTTATCATTCATTTTTTTTTTCAAATAAATAAAACCTAAAATTCGGTGCATTAAATGTTTTTGACACATTTATTATTTTATCCTAATGTTTTGATGGCAATTTTTGATAACAAATTTCATAAAATGATACAAACTACATAATGATAATCTATATTTGCACTATTATGCTAATGCCCATTCTTCAATTCAAACATAATAAAAATGATTTAAAGTTAAAAAAAATTAATCCAGTATATTTGGCATATTTTACCCTACTTTAGAAGGTTATGCTTATCTGAACGAATGAAAAATATAACGAAATTAAATATTTTTATCATAAAACTTTCTCAATGCACATATTTATTTGATATATTCTGGTGATTTTCAAAGAATTCTAAAAATTACTTTATGAGTCGATTTTTTACGTATGTTAAAGACGTCAGTTAAATTTTCATTAGAACTGCTATGTTAGTTCGATACTGTTGCTGAAAATATTTGCAAACAAATTGATATCCTATGGTATCTTATATTCATTCTACAGGAAGTATTTATTTTCCCTGAACATTTCTTCCCCAGATGAGCACGGCCATTTCTATGTGAAGTCCGTTGAACAGTTCTCAAGGGAACAGGAGCTGAAGAAGACGGTTGTAGAGGCCTTGTCTGGAGCCAAAGATAGAGATGATGATAATGATGGAGATAGAGAAGCTTATGGAGATAGAGATATTGACGTCCTCAGGCATGACTCTGGGCTCTGTAGCAGAACAGACTCCATTCAAGAAGACACAAGGTGCAATAAATAGCAAAATATAAGAAAATATTATTTAAATTGAGTTATTCAATAAATCTGACTGGTTGGTTTGATATCAAAATGCAAAATTTTTATTTTACGTTATTGACCTGAGTTGCTGAAAATAATAGGGAACATCCATAAATGTGTTTATAATGGTGAAAAGTCTTTAAAACAATTGTTTGTGTCTTATTTGTTCCAAAGAAAATAATATTACAAAAATCCTTTGATTCGGTCAATCCAAAAAAATATCGACTTCACAGAAAAACATATCGACGTTGCACTTTGCGGTCACTCGATCTGTGAAGTCGATATATCTATGGATTGACCTTATAAAAGGGCTCTATTGGTATTGAAATGCATGTACGTATTAAGGATTTACAACTTATCAGTTATCGTTCTTTTCTGTTTTTTTTTTTTTTTTACAAGCTTTGAAGTTCTATGAATTAATATTAACAATACTAACATTAAAATGAAAATATACACTTATATTTAAATAGTGAAACAAATAAATACATTTTTCTTTTAGAAGTGATGTGATTTCCTTGAAGTCTAGTGAGATATCTACAAGAAAAATAACAGCTAACATTTCCAAGAACAAACAAAACCTAGGTACAACGTGATACTTAAATCTTGCATGAATATTACAAATGTGATTTATAGAAATGATATGTAAACGAGTCAATGACTGATATAAACATATAGTGTAGAATATCAAAAGGAAATATTAAAATTGGTTAATCGTTTTCAAGATGTGTGAGACAGAAAAAAAGTATATAATATATGCATGAACTTTTTTATGATACAAACATATGAAATAAAACCATGTCAAACTCTTGCAGGTCTCTGTGTGTCGGGAGGCATAGAGAGTAAAGCCCAGCCTGAGATCAAGGTAGAACAGGTGTTAGAGGATGGGGCAGCAGCGGACGAACCAGCGATACAGGTATTTACTCCCCCTCACAACACACCAGAGGTGTATGAATTAATTTGCTTTATTATATGATTGAATAATTCTCATCTCTCTGATTGGCTGAGATCCAACAATGTTAGAAAAATATTACGTTATATTGACCTGCATGTGACCTTCCAGGTCAATATAAGGAATTATTTCCAGGTCAATATAAGGAATTATTTATTCTACATTGGACCAAAAATAGATAATCATATAATAAAACAGTTATTGCTGTTTTTTGAGGTCAATACGATGATTTAGACACCTTCGAAGTACAATATTCACCTCGCCCTTCGAGCTCGGTGAATATTGTACTCCTCAGGTTTCTAAATCATCGTATTGACCTCAAAAAACAGCAATAATTGTATAATATTTTCTACAGCGCCCCTTACTAATCACTTCTAACCAAAAACTGTTTAACCAAAAGCATTACAGGCAATAATCAGTTTCAAATGAAATTTAAGTTTGATCAGCATATTTTCGAATATTTTGAATTTAATATAATGACCTGTAGAACACATGTATGAGTATGAATACCATGTTCTGCTTCACAGCCTGGAATGGTCATCTTGTCCATCGATGGTCACAGTATGGTAGGAGTCAGACATTCTGTGGCAGTCAACGCTCTCAGGTCGTCCTTCAGCAACAAACGGAAGGTCAATATGACAATCGTATTAAAAAGAATAGATACCTGACCTTGGGACAAGGCCATAGTAACAGTTTAGTAAATAAATTTTCTTTGTTGCATGGTTCTACTCTACTGACCACAAACTTCACAAACCGTATCAACAAAGAAAGCATTAGTCTCGTAATTTGACTTTTTTGTATACAGTACTTTATATTTTTCTTTGTAATCTCATCAGTTTCCTGCTACATTATGTAGTCCATTATGGTATTTTCAATTTTTAGACTATTTATAAAGCGAAATTAAAGTGAATTTCTACCTGACTGAAATCTTAAATCTGGGCATTATGAGTAAAAACCTGTTTGATTATGAAAAATAAAGGAAACTTGCTTTTTTCAAACTTGACATTTCATTCTTATGATTAATGATTATCATAATAATCTTTTTTATGAATGTTTAGGCCTAACTGAAAATTTCCTTTTATGAACAGTTGTTGTTAACTCGTACTACTGTATAGATATAAAAAAATTATATTAGCTTTCTCACAAAGTTGCGAATTCACAAAACAGTGAAAAATCCGTATGTTAAAAAGATTGGGAACGTGTTAAATCAACCTCAGCGCTGATGTTGCAGAGGAAGAATAAGCGAAATTAGACGGTCAGACCCTATACAGTATGATTGTGTGATTATACATGATTCAGTTTAACTATACTTATTGTACAGTTTCTGTAACTATACTAATTGTACACTTCTCTAGAACTATACTTATTGTACAGTTTCTGTAACTATATTTATTGTACAGTTTCTCTAGGACTATATTTATTGTACTATACGTATTGTACAGTTTCTCTAGAACTATACGTATTGTACAGTTTCTCTAATTATACTTATTGAACAGTTTCTCTAGCTATACTAATTGTACAATTTTTCCTATGTATTGGTAAAATGTATACTTAGTCATTGACTGGCTTTCACCACTCATGCAATCCTTTATATATCATTTTGTTGAAATTATATCAATTATATATTTATATCAATTAACTTACATATTTTAATGTCATTTCTCTCTGTGCAGATATAGAGATGATAAATTTTAATCTATTTTTTTTTTACATAAGTGATAAGATATATGTTTGTTATGATAAACTACAAGCATGCATTATCTCAACATTAAATATAAATGTATATCTTTCATGCTTTTACGTGTCAATAAATATTTAAAAAATGGATTTGTTAAAAATTTATTAATAGAGTTCATTAGTGTATTGTATGTCAGTCGTCGTTTACTAATGTCCAGGTGAGAGTTTATTTTAACTTAGAGAATTTTTCCAATTTATCTCATTTTATTTGACTACTGGCGAGAACTCAAGAAAAGTTTGATTAAGCAGTTAAACTTTACTCTAAATGTTGCGAATATTAAGGGGAAGAATTTGTCTTGCAGTCGTCTGAGATAAATTACAGTTGAACTTCGGTACCTCGAACACGGATATCTCGAATACCATGGATATGTCGAAGTCATTTTGAAGTCCAAACTACTAATTCCATAAGATTTTTACCGTGGATATCTCGAATCCTTGGTTATCTCGAAGTATTTTCTCGGTCCTATGTAGTTTGTCTTTCACTCTTCTTAGTTTCTTAGTGTATTTCTGTTTGATTATTCAAGTCAAATCGTACATTTGTCACATTTTTCTGATTTCACCTTGGTTAGACCTTTTTTCTAGTTTATTACTTACTCTCTGGCAAATGGACCGAGTGGGAACAAAGCTAAAATGAATAAATCAACATTCATCTTTATCTGTTTTTTGCCAAATTTGCATCTTCATTCTTATTTCTCATTCATTTTTATATTTTTAATCAATTCTTCACTCAAATCGTCTAGTTTACAACTGTAATTTGACCTTGGTTGGCATTTAAACGCTTTATTTTCACTCTACTTTCCCCATCTTCGTCTCTTGTGTTCATGTCTAGATACTGAGTCGTTCGTGCTGTGTGAATGCATTCGAGGAAAAGGTTTGAACTGCCTTATATTGTCTGGCTATCCTGTTTTCCTGCAAATGGAGGTCAATGTAATCTTTGGAATGACATATAGACGTTATTATTATTTTTTTTATGTCGGATTGGTGCTAAGTTTTTTTATTTTCTTCTTCAGTATGTTACTATAGACTCCGTATACTGTCAAAGGTCCACAATCATCTTAAGAGCTAGACTCTGCGGGTTTTGAAAATTAAGGTTTGAGAAATTTGATTACATATTCCCATTTATTTGTAATGCCTAGGCTACAAGTACCTGTTTAACTATAAAGACATGTTCTTGGATTTAAGGAAGAAAGAGGTCAACCGAATCTGGAGTCAACTACTTTTACACTCACTATCTGCGAGGAAGAAGTGCACTTAATGTATTAATTATGAAGCTGAATGTTTCAATTTCAGAATTGCCAACTAAGCTTAATTTTTTAGGCAAATAGTAATACCCTCTCTAATTTAAGATTCCAATTACATATTAAGCCAACAGTTTAAAGCATACTTAAAATCTTTTGCACTGATTCATAACAATCAAATATAATGGCCGACATCAATTTATTTTCAAAAACAACATGCTGAGGCTTCAGTCACCTGCAAACAATTATAAAGAATTTACAGAAGAAGCAAAATGTTGTTGTGCAGGTTTATGACTGTAATAAAGAGACCAGAGAAAAAGCCCCTTAATGAGATTATATTGGTAATTACCACCAGAGCGCGTGAGGCTTTATACCTACATTATATATACACAGAACTGTCTAATGACTATAATTTACGTCTTTCTCTATGAAGCATAATTTGGATAATTTTCTTAAGAGGCCGATAAATTGTACAGAAGCTCTTCATTTAAGCACCCTATTCAAAAGCGTCAGGAAAGAGTTGAGTTAGTAGGCAGAGCGGTAATAGCACAATCGTCTTTTAAGTATAAGACTCCTCATGTAATTTGAAGATGGAGAAAAAATTGCGCCAAATTGCCGTTCCTTGATCACTTAAGCGCGCTGGTCTTACCGTAGACTGGGACATGTGAGGGTGTTACTCATGCCAACTTCTTTGATTTAATACATAAAATTCCCAAGTACTTGAAAATGAGGAACTTTTTGTAACTTAGAAATGTGAACAGAAGCCAAGTTGTAGATATTCTTTATCAATCATACGCACGTTCCTGAATTCAAATTTGCAAAACTAATTACAAAATTTGAAAAAAATACTTGTCGAAAAAAAACTCACTATATGACTCTTTTCCATCTAAAAAAATTTTTTTTACAATGTTTTGAACCAAATGAACACAAGTTGTCATCGTATAAAAATATTTTCAAAGATAAATAAATTTAAAAACACAAATGATGTATTGCAGCACTTAGATCATTAGTAAAGTGGGTTTCATTGAATTAGATATGAATACACAACAATGCCACACTCTGTTGTCCCATTCCAAATACATTACTGGGTAGACACCACAACTTTGTTTGTTTGCAAAACTTGCAATTATTATTTTTTTTAATCACGTGATTAAATCTTAAGAAAGTATAATGTTATTTCTGACCTGTACTGTAGTGTAAAGAATTACCCGTATCCACAAGGATCTAAGTAGTTTTATCAAGTAAAATATGCTCCGAGAGAAAAACACATGGCTTATTACAATGAATTTTATTTTCAAAACAATGAATCATCTAAAACAAAAACATAACTGCACATTGCTGTCATGGTACATTTATTCTTTCAACGGCGCTGGGTTTGCCGACAAATTTCCGGGAATCTATATTGTCTTTAAGAAATAATTGCTATAAAAATTTAGTAATCTTAAGGAATAAAGATATGCGAACCTAAGTTTTGATATCCTTCATTTACGCCAATTTGAAGCATAGTGATCTGGTGTCTTGCAAATTATAAACGAATTCTAAACCACGGGAGACGTTTGTATATAATCCAGAATATGATGTGGAAATTGTACAGTTGTTATCGTTAATGGGTTTTATCGTTCATCTTTATTTTTGGGTTAACTCCTATGGAAATTTAACAGTTATAACATTATTTTGACAGACCCCAGTACGATTGTCATGATAAACTAGTTGTACATTTTGAAAAGCATGTATGTTACGTTATTGGAAATGTATTGATAAATTCTGTCATATGAACTGACTTACTCCGAATGAATAATTTGGAGTAGTGGTGCTAATTTAGAATTAAAAGTAATCTACGGGTGAATGACGTCATAACGAAGCCTTTAAGATATCTTTCTTGGTAATTAAAATTTTTCCTATGAATAAAACATGCCTCCTGCATTAGCTACACTTTTTAAAAAAGATAATTAAGTTTTCCAAAAATATCTTTCATTCATTTCGACAAATATTTTAGCATAATGAACTGTTTTAATTTCCCTGGTTATAACTCATTGCTAAGATTAAATGACTGACATGTTTATAATTTTTCTCAGCTTAAATGCACCGATGAAAATGTTCGAAAAATATTAACACATTTGAAACTCCAATTTAAGAGTGATTAACCCTTCTAGGGGCGTGTTCGGCTAATTTTCTTGTTGACGCTTAGTCTGGCTCTGTTGTAGCAAACAGATTTATTGAATTAGTTCCATTCATCCACATTGTAAGAAAGTCATTTCAGTAACAGCAGGTATAAAATCTTCATTACTGCGAAGTCGATTTACCCAGCAGGACAATGCATTAAAACAGCTATTACAGGCCAATGATATTTTAATTTTTGAGAAAGTGATGTAAAATGTATCTCTTGTTAGATAAGTGATCTACCTCAGTGTTGGGAATCTGGTATCATGAAATCTGAAACATTAAATAGAAATTTTAATTATCGAATTAATCTGCTAAAGCTTTCATGGATATGAATCATATCTATAAGTAAAAATGATACGTCAAAATCAAAAATCTTCAGCTAAACTTAATGTTTTTTTCCCTTGAACTAATGAAGTAACCTCTATTCCTTTACAATTTACACAGAAAAATATGCGTGGCATTTTGATCGTACCTGAACCACCTTCAAAATCAGAGGGTTTAGAGATTTGTCGTCAGAAACCCTCGTGTCTTGTTTTAGTTCTGAACATTTCCCAAATGTACGAATTTCCTGTTTGAATCCTTATAGTATCATGCACATACCACTTTTATCTGTAAAGCAATATGTGAAAATCAATATGCATGCATTGCGTTACACGGTAATCTCATGGCAGTCTTCCCACTTACTAACGAATTTGCATTTGACACGAACCTTCTCATCAGCATCCCAATGTACGTAAACACCAGCATTTTTTTTTCAATTAAAATATTTTATACTATTTTAGTAAAGAAATTAAACAAGTGTTTTACCAAAGGTGTTTCTTTTAAAACAAATTAAGTGAATTTGTTGAATTTTGTGAACATTAAAGGGTCTTTTTTCATTTATCATAAAACTTTAAGCATAGATACGAAAGCGTATAGGTCACTTCACTTGTGTTATAACAAGGTCTTATTTCTAGGTGTCTTGTCAACATATGTATCATATAGTGTTATAGTCACTTATTTTTACATTGTCTTTAGATGTTTTTAAATAATTTTAAGCACCTTCTTTTATTTGATTGATTTTATTGCTGTAAATTATATCAACATAAAAAATATTGATTTGAAAGTATTGAATTAAGCATGAGGTTTAAAATATCGATGTAGTAATCTTGACATGCAACGATAACAATATATCTAAAATATTAACAGCAGTGAAGGAGAAACTTCAGGAGTACTTTGCAACAATATATTCGAGAGGGGTGTAAATCAGATGTGGATACTTAAAAATTCCAAGGAACTTTTGGAAAATTTGAAATCACAAAATTTTACCAAAATCAGCAAAATACTAGTAAAAACTTGCGACTTTTCAACTTTATATACAACCATTCCCCAGGATAAATTAAAGTCCAGGCTTTTTGATATCATTGACAGCTTGTTTTTTCAATAAAAATGGAACTCGTAAATTTACTTACCTTTTCATTGGTCACTTGCAAAATTATTTTGCCAATGTACACACAAGTACTCTGAAGTTGATATTAAAAAAGATGCTTGAGTTTCTGATTGACAATATCTATGTGGTTTTTGAAGACCAGGTC